GGGGCAACAAGAACATCGGCGAAATCGAGTGTGACTATTAAAAAATAAATCATTATTATATTAATATTGACAATAACAACCGACCGTCGTGGTACAGCATTTGCTTGGCTTGGTATTTGGGCCATGTTAACAATACTGTGTAACTGTCACGTTTGAAGGGACGAAATCGTGACATCTTCACGTCTCCCAGCATGGTAAATCGTCACATGTTCACGTCTTGCCGTGATACCGGGTTGGGTATATATTACCTTGACGTCTATTCAGCGTGTGTATCTGAGAGTGACAAGTGTAGCCCCCAGGTCGGAGGGTAAGAAGCCACAATACCACGTTATTGTAGACAGGAGTGAAAAAATGATCTCTCCAGGCACTCCATTTGTCACACTGTACGAGCAGCGCTTCTTCACTTATTGTAAGCTCCTCGAGCTGAAAAGAAGAAGAAGTGAAACATTAATAAAGAAACACCCCTAAATCTATGACTTCAATGGATGATTCCGCCTCGAGAAATAGACTTTTGATTGATTGCACAACTATTCTTTATTTTAGATCCCCATGAGTAGTTTATGATGATAATTTTTCTTGGAGTCCACATTAAAGACAAGACATTAAAACATCACACTCTTGCAATCCACAAAACCAAATTAATTTCATAAAAGAGAATCTATCGTCATGCATTACCTCATATTCAAGATTCAAAAGCTTTATTGTCATATGCACAATTGCTACAGTGTAGTTTGGCAATGAAAATCCAATTCCCCAAGCTCCTCCAACAATGAAACATAGAATATATTCAGCACATAAAAATATATAAAAAATATCTGAGAGCAGGGTGCAGTCGACATTATGGTGCAAGTCAAATTAATAAATAATCTGCAAAATCAGCAATCGTTGATTCAATCAAGTAAAGAGATATTACAAAATAGTTGTAGAAAAATATCTTTAAAGGGGCCCTATTGTGATTTTTGGGGTTTCCCTTTCCTGTAGTGTGTTATATAGGTTTTTGTGCATGTAAATGGCCTGCAAAGGCTAAAATCCCAAAGTTCCTACAGAGGGAGTTTCTCTTCCACACCAATTGGACTTCTATTGGCTAGTGCTCCAACACATGGTCTCTAAATGGTTGACAAATCCCAACAAAGCTGGGCTCTGGTTTCAGACAGAGGGTGAAAAGAGGTGCTACAGCACAGGCAGTATGAGAACATGCAGCCTAACCTGATTTCTATCTTAATAATTAATACAAATTGCTGTTCTTCTTTAAGCATGATGCTACTAGCAATATGAGTTAAAGGTCCCATGTCATGTTTTTCCGGTTATTACCCGTCCCCTTGTGTGTTATGTAGCTTTTTCTGCATGTAAACGGTCTGCAAAGTCACAAACCCTCAAAGTACACCCTGTAGCGAGTAAAACTCTAACACAGAACATACCTGTCTATGCTGCCCCAGAACACCTCGTTGGAGATTTTTCTTTTTACATTTTTTCTTCCGGAGTATAGTGACGTAACGATACCCAGGTCCAAATGGACCAATCCGTGGAGCTCCTCACACACACACACTCACTCAGCCTTATCTTTTCTCAGCCGCGGCTCCGTGGCTCTCCACTCACAGTTCGCCACACACTCATGTGTGTGTGCTCAGGCTGAGTTCCGTGGTGTCTCACTGTCTCGCAGACCCCACGCAGCAACCAGGAAACGACACCAGTAATACAGCTCACACTGTCCGCTCCTTGAGCCTCAAAGGGTGGAGCAGCGAGCCCCGCAACGTCCCGCCAACACGGCACCCAGACCCCACGCAGCATTCTCATCTGTTTGTCATTACTGGTGTCATTTTCTGGTTGCTAACAAACGCCATTGTAACACATAATCACACATCAGAGCACAGTGGGCGCATAGGGAGGGGGGGGGGCAGGAGCTCCAACAAGGCGTGTAGGACAGAGAGTGAATACACATACTATACAGAGATGCTGTATGAGAAACCAATGTGATTTTGGAACATTGAACAATGTAAATCTATTCTAGTATACCTCAACAATGGAATTATGATCAGTAGAAATGGCCATGACATGGGACCTTTAAGGCTCTGATATTGGTGGATCTGCTCAGGCTGATGACTGCAGGCCTGTTTATGAAAGACGAGCTTCCCCTACCTTCAGAGACGACCCTTTCACTTTACATTTCCTCTGCATTACCTTGTTATCATTGTTTGGGCATCAAGTTACCGGTCTCAGAGCATGCACTTACCTTAAGTGTTTCCTTTTTTTAATGTTCTTTCAGCATTGATGTTCAGCCCTGGCACATTTACTGTAAAGCATGTTTCAGAATATCATATAGCACATAGGAATTATGATTGAAGGAGGATTTACGATGTGGTATTAACCCTTATGTTCTTTTCGTAAGTCTGGGCCCCCTTGAACAATACAAAAAAAAACCTCAGCATTGTTTTATTAGCTTGTTTTTTTAAGGTTACCTTGATTTACAAACATTTCTCATGATTTTGAAGTGATCTCCAGGGTTTTGACCCAAATATTAATCCACTCAGTAACATAACATACCTTGTCATTGTTTTGCCTTCTTCTTATTCTACATATTTAGATTTAAATAAAAAAGGTTTATAGGAAATTGTTGGTTGGTTTGTAATTAAGAAAATATATGTTGTTTAACATCAGTGGGGTACTAAAGATATTTTAAAATATGTTTTGTGTTGCTGATTTAGTTCATTTAATTTAAACATATAGTTTTTTGACCATACTCTTGCTTATTGGTGATTATTCATCCGCCCCCTTTTTTAATAACAACACTTCTCCTTGCTCTGCACGATTAATTACCACTGCAGTGATACTAATCAGACATGCATGTTATTATTGTTAATCTCAAGTATTTCTTACTTAAGGGCCTTCATCAAGGGCGGTTTGTTGGTCATTTGTGAGGAGATGGACAGTGTAGCTCACCCACCTGTGTCCATCTGATGGACATCATTCACTTCACTGTACATGCAAAGCGAAGGTGAGCCTCCCTCCTGTGCTATTTGTTTCCTTGTAAAAGTCTTCAGTCATTAGAGCCAGATTAAAGCAGTTTGTCAACCTCAAGGACTCATGATTGCTGAAACAAAAGCAGCAGGGAAGGCTCTCCCAGGAGCCGACAGAGAGTGCAGTGAATTACCTGAGCACCTGCAGAATGTTAAATTCTCCATTCTTCATACCATTTCTTTTAAGTATGAAACACTTAAACTTTGTAGACTCATCCACCCAGGTGGTTGTAGAAAATAAGTCAGATTTTTAAATGGAGAACAAATGCTTTGGGCAGCCCATAAAAACTGTCCTTCAGCATTGTATACGTCTGTCCTTCCATACAGTATGCTACAGTATATCAGGGTTGGGGAAAAATAGGACCCAAATGCAGTAAAAGGACTAAAAGGTCAGGTAACAAAAAGCGAGCTTTATTTTTCAAAGCTGAATGACAAAAGAAAACAAGGAACAACTTAACATACCAAAACCAGGGGGATACAAGGAAGGATCAGGACACAAAACCTCAGGAACAAACATGGAGCGTGACAGGTAGCATGGACAAGAGCAAAGAGACTAACAGGTATCATAGACGAGAAACGACGACGAACAGACATGGAGCACAGGGGAAGACAAGACTAAATACACAGAAGGGTAATCACAGGACAAGACACAGCTGGGCAGGGGAGGCAGAAACACAAGGGCAACAGGTGAACACAATCAGACAATCAGACACACCAGGGAAACTAACGACAGGAAGGCAAACACAGGAAGAAGGATCAGACAAGACACAAGGAGGAAAACCTTTCAAAATAAAAGGTGGAAAATGAAAACAATCCAAAACCATGACACAATATGTATTACCCGGATGCTGATCATTGTATTTTTTACATACAGTATTTTCAACCACACGTCATTTCAAACCCCATTACACTTCAGTACACACATATTACTCGCCTTGACCTTTGCGGCTGCGGATTTTACAATCATTAGATATATTTCTCAAATAATTATCCTACATGTTGCTTATTTTGTGCTCATATTGCTTAGATTTGCTGATGTTTACATCTCTATCCTCATTTTAAAGGCCCCCGGGTGTTAATTTACAACATCACTTTAAGCTATTCTAAAAAAGTCAGTAAATGTTTTGACTATTTACATAGTCAAAAGGTCCTTTTGTTCAGCCTCACAATGCTATTGGGTAGTAAATGTGTTTATATGTCCCGCCCTCTGGCCATAAACTCACACAACTTCCAAATCTTCAAACAAGCAACATCTCTTTGTTTTATTGGACTGGATTTGTCAGATTCAAGTAAGTAAAATGCCTCAAATATATATTTTTTAATTATTACAATGTCTAGAACATGTAAATATTTAGTTATACATTCATCAAATGTAATTAAGACAAGAATTGAATAAATGAATACATTATTTCTGATAGCAGTACGTGTATTAAATCTGTAGCAATATTTTAAACTCTACTTGTATCTTATCAGTTAATTAGTTACAAAAATACATTTAACTCTTCTCTGGTTCTGGCAGAAACAGTTCTTTCTGAAATGTGTTGGGACACTTGGATGTATCCCTTTTAGTATGATAATTAGCCTATTATCATTAGCCAGACAGTATTGTGTGACTTGTTGAACTGGTTTACCTGCATGTGTGGGTGTAGGCATTCCTTTTATTATGATAATAGGCAGTATTGTGTGACTTGTTGCATTGGTTTACCTGCATGTATGGGTGTAGGTATTCCTTTTATTATGAAAATAGGCTAAGCCAGGTAGTATTGTGTGACTCAAGTGTACAATGTAAATAGGATTCAGATACTTGTTGCATCAGGACACCTGGAAGGGGGTGGTGCATGCATTCCTTTTAGTATGATAATAGGCTAAGCCAGACAGAATGAACACTTGTTCCACCACCCTATCTATTCCTTCAGGTAAAGCATTACAATATAATAAGCATATGTATTATTGATACATATTTAGTAATTAATTTTCCATTTCAGAATGCCACCAGCAAAGAGAGGTCCTCAATTCAGTGTGCAGGATGTGATTGCTGCCATCCAAAATGGAGAAAGTGATTTTGAGATGGAATCAGAGGACAGTGACACTGCTATGAGTGAAGTAGAGGCATATGAAGAGTGGACAAAGAAAACCAACAACCCAATGACCCCCCAGTCAGTGATTATGTGGACATCGAGCCCCAACCAAATAAACACACCAAGCCTTGACAGGTATCGCTGGCTGAAAAAAGATTTTATCAGTCCCAACACTGATTTTTCTGGTCCAGATATCACAGAGGATGTCATTTCCCTCCACACACCACTGGAGTACTTCCAGAAGTTTGTGTCAGAAGACATGATTCAGGCTTTGGTAGACAACACCAATGAGTACAGCTTTCAAAAGAATGGAACAGCCATTAACACAAATACAAAGGAAATTGAGAAACTGATTGGCATGTACCTGAAGATGGGCCTAGTACAAATGTCTGGAGTCCGTATGCATTGGGAGACAGACACACAGTACTCCCCTGTTTCTGATGTGATGTCACGCAACAGATTCCAATATCTGTTGACATCATTACATTTTGTAAACATCTTGAAAGTGTCAGAGATGGAAAAGAAAGACAAACTCTGGAAACTCAGACCCTGGCTTGATACATTCAGAGAGAAATGCCTGCAGGTGGTACCAGAAGAACACAACTCTGTGGATGAGATGATGATTCCTTTCAAGGGGAAATTCAGTAGCATCAAGCCACACCCATGGGGGTTCAAAATGTGGGTGAGAACTGGAATCTCTGGCATGATCTGTGACCTTGATGTGTACCAAGGCAGTGTCGATGGGATACGAGCCAAGTCTGAACTTGGATTGTCAGGTGATGTTGTGATGAAGCTTGCCTCCACGCTTCCAGAATGTCAGAACTACAAGATCTACGCAGACAAATACTTCACCTGTGTCCCATTGGTAGTGAAGCTCCTTGATCGTGGAATTCATTATGTGGGAACAGCCAGGCAGGTGAGCTTACCCAACTGTAACCTTGAAGACGAGAAGAGCTTGAAGGAAAAAGGGACAGGAAGCTTTGACATCCGAGTGGAGGCCAACCACAACATCTGTGCTGTCAAATGGTATGACAGCAGAGCAGTCACACTTGTGTCATCCTTTGCTGGACCAGACCCTATGCAGAAAATTCAATGCTGGGACAAAGCCAACAAAGTCTACGTAGAAGTTGAGAGGCCTTCCATTGTGGGTACTTACAACAAGTACATGGGAGGTGTGGATTTGTTGGACTCGTTTACGGCCAAATACAAGTCCCCAATGAAATCCCGACGCTGGTACGTGTACATCTTCTGGCACACCATCATCCTTGCTGTGATCAACGCCTGGCTCCTCTACAAACGGGACTGCAAAGCTCTAAAGATGCCAAAGCAGGAGATCCTCAACAGGAGACAGTTTCAGGCAGATCTAGCATCCTCTCTCATTCTGGTAAGAATGCATTTCTGTTATTTGCCGTTTGTAATATTTTTAAATATTTCACTGTAATATTTTTGATTCGTATCCTAATTTATTTTTGACGAGTATCTAAATTGATTCTGTTCTAATCAGGTGAACACAGTACCAACAGTGACATCAAGGAGCCCATTGAATGCTCAGAAGAGACCATCCTCAGATGATGGGAGTCCACCAAACGGGGCCCCATCCAAGAGATCCCACCCTCCACTGGATGTACGCAAGGACCTAATGGCACATTTTCCAGTGAAGACAAAGAGAGGACGCTGTAGACACTGCAATAAAGGGTACACAAACACGCAATGCAGCAAGTGCGACGTCCGTCTGTGCTTTTCCGACGACAGGAACTGTTTTTGGGACTACCATTGCATTACTATTCAGTCATACAAAATATGACTGATGTGTGATTATTATTCATGCAATATACTGATATAGGGTAGGGATGTGTAAGCATTCACTCCTGCAAATTAACCCTTAGTTGTTCAATATATTTATTCAGACAATGTGAGTAGAAATACAGAAATTCTGCTCCCACCCAAGGCTAACGTTGCAATATTACAACATTTCCCTAAAAACGTACAAAATGTGAAAACTCTTTCATTTCTGCACCAGAGGCTCCCTACTACAACAACATCGGAAAGGTCAAACAAAATGTTGCTAATGTTTTTCTATATGTGTGCTTTACAGGGTTATATGTGTGAAGTAACATTACTGCAGTCGCATTGTCAGAATCAGAATCAGAATCAGAAACGGGTTTATTACCAGGTAGGTTCACACATACGAGGAATTTGACTTGATGTCATGGTGCATACATAAAATATAAAACAAAGAATCTCCATATAAAACAAAAAATCTTTAAGGACACTGTAATAAAATACAGTTAAATAGCAATAAAATAAAGCAGTAATTTACAGCAAATTGGAATACAATGAGTTATAGAATATTAAATATTAAATATTAAATAAGTATATGTGCAGTAAGCAGTATTTGAACATTGTGTGCATTAATGTAATGCATATAGAGTCTACGTTGTGTCAGAGGGGGGGCCGGGCCTTGTTTAAGAGGCCGGTAGCGGAGGGGAAGAAACTGTTCAGGTGGCGAGAGGTTTTGGTCCTGATGGAGTGCAGCCTCCTGCCAGAGGGGTGAACAGTTTGTGTCCAGGTGGCAGGGGCCGATCACCTTCTCTGCAGAGCGGATGACACGCTGCAGCCTGCCCTTATCCTTGGCTGTGGCTGCAGCGTACCAGATGGTGATGGAGGAGGTTAGGATGGACTCGATGATCGAGGTGTAGAAGTTCACCATCATTGTCTTTGGCAGGTTGAATTTCTTCAGCTGCCTCAGGAAGAACATAATCTGCTGTGCTTTTTTGATGAGGGAGCCGATGTTCTGCTCCCATTTGAGGTCCTGGGCGATGATGGTGCCCAGGAAGCGGAATGACTCCACAGCAGTTACTGGGGAGTCACACAGAGTGATGGGGGCGGGTGGGGCTGCGTTCTTCCTAAAGTCCACAACCATCTCCACTGTCTTGAGAGCGTTGAGCTCCAGGTGGTTGTCCCTACACCAGGTCACCAGGTCGCCAGATGGTCCATCTCCCACCTGAAGAAGAGCAGAGGGGAAAGAACGCAGCCTTGAGGGAAACCGGTGCTGATGGTCCGGGGGTCAGAGACGTGTTTCCCCAGCCTCACGTGCTGCTTCCTGTCAGACAGGAAGTCTGTGATTGTGCTGCCATATGAACAAAACTGTTATTTAATCTGTGTCCAGTCTATTTTATTCAAAGTTTCATACTTTGCCTTCATCTTAATCTTCACAAAAACACTATTGATCTCACATTCAGGAGTGTGTGTTTGTTTGTGCACGGCTGGATTTACCCGCCCTTCGCTTCCCACTGGGTCTCCCCTCACTTCCCTCACTTCCCTCCTGTTCCTCCCACTCTCTGCTCGCCGTGTCCGTAACCCAGTCACCTTCAAGCACGCGTCATGTGGTGCACACAGCAGACTTCACATGGCAGCTTCAATATATTTAGCCTGAGGCCCGATACTCACTGTTGGGGAAATATTTTCCAAGGCTCATAACTTTGACCCAGTTTATCAGTTCATACTGTCCTGACTGAGCACACGCACCTGTAACCTTGGCTGCTGTGCTCTCAGTGTTTTGTCTCCCTGTTCCTGCCTGTTGGCGTCAGCTGATAGAGGTGTTATCATTCTATCTTGTTATGCACAATGTGGATTATTCTCTCTGAACTAGCTAAATACATGGGTCTGGGGTAGAGATCTTCAGAATTGACGTGGCAACTCTACCGTGAAGTCAGAACCTCTGGCTCTTGGACTTGTTTAGTGAATTCTTCGGCCGAAGCTCCTAAATAAACCATCAGTGTTTTGACATCAAAGCTCCAGCTCTCCCCGTGTCTCCTTTTGAGTCGGTGACTCCTCCTGCATTGCTACACAGAAGTTTCCCCCACACTCACCAGTACTCCTTTGGTGAATGATCCGTGTACGCTTCATTCATTTATTAATGGCAGAAACGAGAAAACAGCAGTGAATGAAGCTAATTCACAGTAAACACACACACACGGCTAACGTAAATTAAACCGAGGCCACAAGTGAAGATTAAAAGATGGCAGTGTTATTTTTGTTTGAACGGCTCTCAGAGTTTGAACAGCGATGGTCTATCATGTTAGTTAGTAGTAGGCCTTTTTTTTTTCAATAATTGAATAACTTATGCCTGTCAGTAATTTAGAAAATGCTTCTTATACTTCTACTCCACTACACTTTGGAAGACATTGTTGTACTTTTTACTCCACTACATTTATTTGACAGCATTAGTTACTTTGAACCATAAGATTAGTTCAAAGTACATATTACATATCCAGTGCCTCTGGCGGTCATCCGGGACTGATATAACCATAGTTACAGATGTAACTATCGTTCTCTGTGGCAGTTTCCCTCTTGACTTCAAATAATGGACCTCCTTTCACAATGGCATAATGCAGTTGCCTCTTATATAATTAGATATCAGGGTCCGTTATGATTTGATGAAGTAAGAAAGGCAGTGGTTAAAGCTGACACTCACAGGTTTGCCGATTCTTGCAAGCATTTTATGATCAAGTAGTTAAAAATGTGATTTTTTTAAATTAGTTTTTTATTTATATAGCCCTTGATTACTGAGTACAAGCAGCCGTTAAGGTTACAAGGGGGTCACTAATTTAGACACAGCATTCCAACTATCTGTTATGCTACGCACAAAATTCTTTATTATTCCACCGGGTTATTTTGCGCCACTTCTCCTCCCACATTGAACATTGCAGAAACTCAGTTCGAACATCAAAACGTTCAGCTCGGTCGGGAATCGATGGCTATTACTTTTATCATTCATAACTTTCATAATTCCAGAGATACATCCCATTATACATCCCATTTTTAACATGGACTTCAACAATCTTCATGCAACTTCAACTGCTAACTGCTCCTTCTTCAACTGCTAACTGCTCCTTCATACTTTCACTCAGAAACCTCATTCCAACTTTAAAATGTTACACATCTTTCTGACATTATTCGTGTAACACAACTTTTAAATCTGATTCTTACTTTTAGAGATATTAAACATTGTTCAGACCTTGGTAAAGAGGCCTTCTTCAGATTTTAGAGTGCACAGCTAGAGTGGAGGACAGATTTAATTTTGCCTTCATATTTTCTTTTAAACCTGCCATAATTCCCAAACCCTACATTCCTGAGACATAATTGTTAACATAAGGAAAACATCTCGTGGCTTGAAAGATAAAAAAAAAATAAGCAAAAATAATTAAACAAAATGCCTCTTGAGTGACAAAAACTTTCAACATGTCTCCATTAAAACCCATTGTAAGTTCAGCCTCACCTTTCCCCACCACAGCAGCCGCACACCTTTAGTTAATCTGCCAAAAAGGCCACATTATTAACCCGAAAGTACACAAAAAGTGCACTTCAGATGCTCAAGTTCCTTGACATGCTTCACGCTTTGAAATTTCACCGATATCTGTTACGGTTCTTCAACAAAACGTTCACATGTAACAGGTTTATCCCTCATTCAGAACAATGAAAATGCTCTCCTCTCACTGATCACCATGGAAACCTTTGATCTCTGGACACGTCGTTAGCTCAAATATAAACACCTGTGTCATGGAACACGATGATGTCATAACTCAAATTGACATAATTAGAGCAGCAGACTTCAGATAATGGTTAATGGTCCTGCCCTCAACAGCTCTACGTCAATTATGGGGTGTCATCATATGCCGTTTCCATGGAAACGCATCCCTCGCCATAAAACACGATGTCGCTGTAACTCCAATAGACACGGTCCGATCGTCCCCCAAACTTCGCTTGTATATCACCGGTCCATGCCTCAACAGCTTTACGCCAAATCTGAGATCTCACCATAGGCTGTTGCCATGGAAACGCATACCTCGCCATAAAACACGATGTCGCTGTACTGTAGCTCCAATGAACACGGTCCGGTCGTCCCACAATCTTCACCTGTATATCACCTCTCCATGCCTCAACAGCTCTACGTCAAATCTGACATCTCACCATATGCCGTTTCCATGGAAATAAAACACGATGTTGTCGTAACGCCTATGAAAAGGGTAAAAACAGCACCACACTTCAGATAATGGTTAACGGTCCAGCCCTCAACAGCTCTACGTCAATTATGGGGTTTCATCATATGCCATTTCCATGGAATAATCCCTCGCCATAAAAGACGATGTCGCTATAACTCCTATGAAAATGTTCAAAAAGTGCTCAAACTTCACATGTGTGCTAACAGTCCAGCCGTGAAGACATCTACGGGACAGTTTTGAGATTTCTTCAAATGCCGTTGGCATGGCAACACAATGCTCACCATGATACACGGTTTTCTCATTACTTCAGTGAAAATGCTCCAAATGGCCCAAAACTTCACAGGTTTGGTAACGATTCAGCCATCAACGCATCTAAGCGTATTATGGGATATCATCAAATGCCGTTGGCATGGCGACAGATCATTCACCATCAAGTTAGTTCAAAAGTTTGCAGTTCAAATATTCTGCTGCTTTTCCAAGCCTTTTTACTTTCTTTTCTTCTCTCATCACACATTCAAGCCCCCAGTGTTCATGTATAATTTCAATCTAAATTCTTCACTTTCTTCTTACACATTACATTTCAGCATAGCAGTTTAGCGTCAGCTTTTCAGCATAAAGCATTCCCACTAGCAATTTCTTCAGAAATTGCATTCTCTAGTTTGAATAGTGTTACATTTTTAGTTGGTTGAAACTAAATATTGCACACAATTTATTAATTTAACCTGTTAAGCCCTGAGCCTGGTTTTCAGGTCTCAGGCTCGAAAATGACATTCCCAGAACAAATGACCATATCTTCCCTTCTAAAAGGGTTAAATTAATAATCTTTTTTCTCAAAGTAATGATAAACCTGTGAGTTGGATGTAGAAAAGTCAGAATCAATATAGATGTTTTTTATTTTAAAGAAAATTCAGATTTTACATAGTACAAAGCGCATGGTTGCCATGGTTGCCCTTCTGTTTATTCTCCGCTGTGGCTCTTTTTCTCCCTCCCCGAGGCAAGCGTTTGCGCCTCCTGCTGCTGTAATTCAATGCAATCCCTCCCCGTCGAGGCAAGCACTGTAATTCTCTCCGGTTAGTCCACCAGCAGATGACAAACACCCACCTCTCCGCCTCTTCCAAGGAACGAGGGGACCGTGCGGCAGAGTTTCAGTTAGATTTTCTTTCGCCGGTCAACATGTCCGTTAAAGTTTAAATCTTCCGGACAAAATTAGAAAAGTGCCGGTCAAAGGTCTTCTTTGTTATTTATTGAGCTTTAAAACAAATGAATAATGACTCTATATAATCATATTAGAATAAAACACGGAGGACGGAGATCTCTTTTTCTCCCCCTCTTCTGACAGCCCAGCAGCTGATCAGAGCACACTCCCCTCTCCTGCAGGGGGGCGTGGTCAGCTGCAGCTCATTTGCATTAAAGCTACGTCACAGAATCAGCCCCTGCAAAAACAGGTCTGGAAAGAGCAAATAGAGCGAAATGAGGCATGGCTAAAATGCAGGATCTGTTTGGTATTTTGAAAAAATAACTATATTTATATACTTTATATAGGTATGGCCCTACAATATATTGTTCAAATATAGCATGATAGGTCCACTTTAATATGTGTTTTAAAAAAAACCTGTCTGCAGGGGATCTTTAAATGAACGAAAGCCAATGGCCCCACTGTGACATGGTGCACGTCTGCTGCCCCGAGGCTGTTTTTTGAACATTTAAGTGCTTACCTGCTGCTCTTCAATTGGTTTTATCCTTTACGATAACTGTCCTTTTGGGTTAAATATTGATTTTTTTTGTTAGATTCCCTTGAAAAACAAAACATTGAATGTTAAGAATAATTGTAAACTTACACAATTGCTACATTTTATTCTGAGAGTTATTTTCCTTGTGCTTTTTGTAGTTGTGCACATTTTGGTAAGACAACATATACATACTGTATATTATCTTTACGTATACAAAACACACTTTTTCCCCCATTCAATTAGGTTAAAGCATTCAGAAACAGACAGCATTGATTCGCTAATCTGGTTTCCACGTGCAGTGAGTAATTTATAACCTCTAATTGGACAGTGACGATGCTTTCAGACTACTGGCTGTTTTCCTCGGCTGCCTTAATCTGTTCTCCTATAACAGCACTGAGCATACATGTAGTAGCAGACAGACAAGCAGTTTATCACCTGTCCTTCAACTACTGTATCATTCAGCAGGTCGGATGTTTCTAGATGTTGCAGAGGCAGAAAGAGACAGGAAGGAAGAACTCCAGGAGGGAAAACATGTATTTTCTTTGCCCTCTGAAAAGACACTTCTGACTCTCCTTGACACATATTCCCTGTACTACCACTTAAACAGCTCTTAAGGAGGTAATAT